GAAAACAGTAGCCATGTTTGCTAACAATAGCTAGTCAGCTAGCACCATATACTTGGCTGGCTAGCTAGCCTAGCAACATACTTGTGCAGAAAAAGGAAGCCAAATCAACTAAACTAAAGGTCTTTATAACTTATTGATCAAACATAATCTTGTCAGAGAAAGAAAATCATAAGCTTCCCCCGTTGGTAACACCGAAGTCAAAGTTCGGTAGCAAGGTCCAGCTAGTTATAATGTTGCAAACGTTTGAGCAGAGTTGTTTGCAACATTATAGTCTATTGTAGTCTTGGTTAATTATATTTGATATGTTTTCTCATTGATTGTTTTGGATCGTTTGGATATGTGTTCTCAATAGCCCTCTACTTTTTTATTTTTCAATGTACAAACACCAGTGAATGGGAACAGCACCAGACTTTGTTCTCTGCGCCCCAGCACTGCCTGTTCACTTGCCCCCAGCACTGCCTCTGCCCCCAGTACTGACTGGTCATCAGCCCCCAGCCCATCTGCCGCACTGAGCTGCAGTGCAGAATGGGAAACAATCTCCATGCATGACCTGGGAAGCTCTATCCTGGGTCCACCTCTAAGACCTACTCCACTGGCTTGCTCCTCACCAATGCCACAGAGCAGCAGTAGTAGTAGCAGGGGTGTGAGAAGAAGGGAGAAAAGAGCTGAAAACTCATCCCTTGACACATCACTTGCAACGGCATTCCAAATGACTGAAGACAGATCTCAAGATCTGGAGAACGTCATGTACCGAGTCACCAGCTTGTCCCAGAGGTAAATCATTTCAGACTCTCCTCCTTTACTCTGTTCCCCTCTCCCATATTCTGTTGTCCTCTTTCCTCCTCTCCTCACCATGCACATTGTTCGCCACAGACACTCCTCTAATTTCCCCCCTTCTTCTCCTCCTCTCCACAGGGCCCTGGCACCTATAGCAGATTTCATGGATCAACTGTCGGCAAAACTCCGGGAGGAATTTGATCCCCAGCTGCATGACTTCAAGAAGAGGATATGGACCGAACGACTGGGACCACAGTGAAATGAACAACTTGTTCTGTTGTTCAGACACTAGACCCTTTCATTTTATTCCATAGACACTTTTGTTGTTTACATGTCTGTTTTTCACAGGACACATTTGTACTATTGTACAAATAATTTGATTTATTGTCTGACACTTTAAGTATATTTCATTGACACGTGTTGTTTACATGTCTGTTCTTAGCAGACAATGTTGTATTGTATTTTGGTTTACTTTCAGAGCCCAGAGGCAAGAATAAAGGTTAATGTTTGTGTGCTGAAAAAGCTCTGTTTGTTGGCGTTTCTTCATCTCAATACAAGGTGTTTCAATGCATTGTATTTGAACATCAAGTGCTGACACAGTTGAGTAGAGCTGTGTGCTACAGACTGTACAGGCTTTCTTCTACTTGTGTGGTGTATTTCAATCTAATCTAAATTAATGCACACTGAGACAACAGAATCAAGTTTCATTTTATGAACAAGATTAAAATGCTACATTTCTGTACAAAGTATTTTGGTTCACAATGCACACATAAATAACTGTTTGCGTCCATCAATGGGTGTGTGTGTGAGCAGTCCAAACAAAGGCCTATTCGGCATGATTGGCTGGCCTTGGGTTGAGTTGTTCTCTCCTAACCATGTCTTCCTGCCATGGCACACATCAAGGGGGGAGAGGAAGAAGTCCCTGAGCTTGTTTCTTGTTTCACTTGCAAGCCATGTCGCCCTGGCACGAGAGAGTCTCCCTGGCTCTTGGAAATTGTTGTCCTCTGCCACAACCCTCTTCCACTTTCCAGGTTTGTAGTTGCCAGAAGGGAGGGGTGTGTCGGCAAAAGCGGGAGGCACGGATCTTGCATTCGGCTCATGAGCTTCATCCGTGGAGGACAGGTAGTTGTGGAGGGCCACACATGCCTTCACAATGTCCTTAGCCTTTTCAGGGGTACTTAAAAAATACAAATGAAATTACGAGCTCTGACTTTGCCGATAGCTACTTTATTGAGGAAAATTGTACTAACTATGACTGTGATATGTGGTTATCACACCTATCTATCTTAAAATGAAAGATACTGTACTCTAAGTCACTCTGGATAAAAGCATCTGCTAAATGACTCAAATGTAAATGTAAATGGATACACTGGATTGGCCGACCAAGAATACTCATCCTTGTAGACATGATGTCGAATGCATTCTCTTGGACTCTCCGACAACGAGAGTGGTGGTAGTTGTAGGTACGCCCAGCTTCATTGAGATGGACACCTGTGAATGAGAGGTAACAAGATAATATATTTCAGATATAAAATATAGCCTATTTGGTCAACAAAAATAACACCATACCATTTTCCAGGAACCATATTCCAAAAGCCTTGATTAAATGGCATTTCTCATATAGAGGTGCATACATGTATGCAGTAACAAGGAACATTATAAACAGAAAAAGTTAAATTGATTCTAACATTCTATTATCAACATACCTAAATATGGGCGCATGAGGTTCTCATGTAGGGGGAAAGCTGCATCTCCCAGGAAAACATGAGGACTTGGCGTTGTGGTACCTGGCAGGACAGTTGGCGGTGACAAATCGAGGGTTTTCTGCAGCAGTTTAGACCCAAAATAACTCTCTTGAAACACTTCACCATCGGTCTCTCAACCGTATGCCTCTACATCCACCATTGTGAACTTGTAGCGGGCATCACACACTGCCATCAAGATAATGGAGTGGGTGCCTTTGTAGTTTTTGTTGGACTAGCATTGCATACTCCCAATCCGTTGTTCTTTCTCTGTTGAGTTGTCGCACTGACCATCATCTCCGTCTCCGACTCTCGCCTATTATATGTGTTGCTAGGTACATCAAATCTAGTAGATTCAGGGCAATTCGCACAACTTCAATTTTCTCGCCAGTCAAGTGTCTTCTTCTTCTTCTTCTTCTATGATATAACGGCAGTCATTTTTAAATCCTCCTTACCTAACTCTATACTTCTGAGAAAATAAAAAAGAGCCCTACTACCTTCTAATAGACCCTCCCCCATCCCCAGAATCCCTTCCAACCCCCCCAACCCCTCCCCCCAACCCCGTCCAACCTCAATGACCCAACCTCAATGACCCTACACTTCAATCTTTCCCTCTCTTCAACATACTTACAACTATATAACAACACATGCTCCACCGTTTCATCGACCATACACTCCAGACACAAACCATTCACATGCTTGCCAACCAAATGTAATGACGAGTTCAATGTACAATGTCCTAAGCGCAATCGAGCAAACACCACCTCTTCCTTCCTAATCTTTGAATCTTGGTCCACCAACCTTTCTTTGGAGGCATATAAATGCCGGCCCTTGGGCTCAGAGTCCCATCTCTTCTGCCAGACATCTATCAAAATGGCTCAGATCTTACATTTGGCCTCACATCTTCCCAGTGGAATATTGATATCAATTATATCTCGTTTCAAAGCTCTTTTGGCTAACTGGTCTACAATTTCATTCCCTTTCCACCCAGTCAAGTGTCTCTCTGTGTACTCAATTTTATTATTCTCTTCCTTGTTTGGGTGTGTCGTCACTTACCAGCTTATCGGCCTCTACTATCCTGTGGTAATATTTTTTGGCCGTAGATGGCTATTACCAGCGCATCACCCTCTACTCTCCTGGGGTTATGTTGTTTGGCTGTAGATAGCTATTACCAGCTCATCACCCTCTACTGTCCCAGGGGTAATATCGCCGCTTTCCCCTGCTTTTTTTCAAGCAAACGTCTTTTAAGGGAGTACGCGAGCACACTCGTTCGGTTTGCCTAGCCGAGTTTGGCCAGCCGAACCAAAGCATGCGGACGTCTTAACCATCCCCCTCTTTTCACTTCCTCCTTTCCTCATCCCAAGACTCACTACCTCCACCCCCTACCCCCTTAATCACTCCTCTCTCACCTCCCTCACCTCAACCCAGTCTTCACCTCCATCCCTCATCCCTCATCCCCCTTTCACCTCCTCTCCTCTCTACATCCTTCCACCACATATCCCCCCCCATGCCCACCTGTCCCCTTGGTTTTCAGGTGTTTTATAGGGCCACTCAATTAGCTGTCTCTGATAGGACACAGTCAAGGCTTGTTGAACTGGGAAATTAAATTTGCTACTCTATTAACAGAAATGCCCGACACAGCATTTTAATTCTCTCTCTCTTTCTCCCTGTCTTTCTCTATCTCTCTCTCCCTGTCCCTCTCTCTCCCTATCTCTCTCTCTTTTTTACATTTTATTTCTCCGCTTGAGGCCTCCCCATGCTCCGCTTGAGGCCCTCCGCTCGAGGCCACTGTGCCCAGGTTAATGAGAACACAATGTTGACAAAAAAGGCCTCAAAAAAAGTTCATGAATCATACAGCCGAATAATAATTCATAATAGATCAATAATGTATTTATATTCATATACTTACTGTATATTTCATATCAATATTAATATAATCCACGTTTTTCTCATAATAGTAGAAAGTGTCATTAAGGGTCATTAAGTCACATTAATCACCCACAGACTGGTTCATAATAATGGACTATTCCACCCTGACAGAGTAACCCCTCTAATTGTATGTGAAAGTAAATTCGGACTGAGGTTGGGTTTAAGTAGGCTACATTGACATCTGATTTGCAAAACAAAGGACACCTTCATTTCAACGTGTAGCTAAGTATACTATCATTAATCTAATGTTGATTGTATCTTTGGAAGTTTAGAAGTAGTTACCATTAGCCCTATAAATAGGATGCCAAATTCATGATATTAATAATACACTTTTACCTTCCTATATTGTATTTTATACTGCTGTGTTCTATCCTCATTAACAGCTGAATCCAGGTCAGCACACATTGTCTGGATATGTGTGTTTATGGAACACATTACCTGTCCTTAAACACACACGTGCACACAGACTTACGCGCGCACACACACACACTGCTCACCTCTGCTGAGCAGTTGCAGGTTGCGGACCTCCTCTCTGACTTGTAGCTGAAGGACCTGCTGTAGAACCTCCTGTCTCAATGTTTCCTGGACGATGCCCATCCTCTCCAACTTCTCCCCGTTCAACCTCAGCAAAGCACGACCTAGAGAGAGAGAGAGAGAGAGAGAGAGAGAGAGAGAGAGAGAGAGAGAGAGAGAGAGAGAGAGAGAGAGAGAGAGAGAGAGAGATTTACGCTGTTGATTTACGTCTAAGGGTTAAGTGTGTTTTCTCTGCTTTTCCTACGAGTCATTATGACACCGAGCAGGATGGCTTAGTGAGGTTTATTCAGCCAGATGATTTAGTGAGGATGTTTTAACTAGAACACCAAGGTGTTAGACCCCCAGGGACACACACTTTTAACATACCATTATCCACAGTAAGCATCACGCTTTACACACACACACACACACACAAACAAACAAACACAGAGACGACACATGCATGTCTACTTCATTACACACACACACACAAATGGTATGGCCTTGTCCTTCAATCGAGAGGAGAGTGAAGGAATCCATCAAAGCTGTAGCAGCCTAGGTCTACATGATTTGACACATTACTCATACTGTTAGCTCTCCTAATCAATCCATCCATTCTCATTTCCGCCTCTGTATGTGGATACACCTCAAAAGCCCAGCACACACACACACACACACACACACACACACCCTCTCTGTCCAGCCCTCTCTCTCCCTCCCACCTCAGCCAGTGCGTCTCTCTTTCCTGCCCCCAGAAACATGGTGTCCTAGAAAAGCTGCCCTTGGTTCCTTTGTGTACAAACAAGACAAAGCAGATGAATAGAGCTCCAATCCAATTCCCCTCCGACAGACTTAATACAGAGCCTAATAATGGCCTGCAGATAGAGATAGCAGCTAGCGCCTTCAAAGAGGTGAGAATAAAGGGAGAAGGGAGAAGAAAACTGTTTCTGTGGAAACCGTTTCGTTCAACGCACCGACACGGTTAATTGGTGATAAACAAGTTCTGAGGGCAAAAGGGAGACATTTCTGTCATGGCCGCTACAATATGGACACTTAATGTTAGAACAGAGCACAGTAAGTGAATCTTTTGTATTTTAACAATTATTTTGGAGAGAAATGAAAGTAGAGTTTCTGAGGTTTCCAAAACCGTATTGCACGTAGTTATTAGACACAGTTAGACACGGTTAGACAGAGCCCCGCTGTGGTTAATTGTTAAACTGAGAACCCTATGGCTGTATGGCATAGCTATACAGCTATGGTCCAGGGTGTAGCTTAAGACGCGCACTAACAAGCATGACCAGTACTGTCGTGCGGGCGTGCTGATGGCACACACACACTTCTGACCTTGATCCTGTACATTAAATATTCTGTAACAGATTGTGGTAAACATTTCTTATGGGCGGGCAGACGGGTAGGCAGGCAGGGTAAAAGGATACGATGCAAAAATGTTGGTTTTAAGAAAGAAGGATAGTGCAGGTAGCAGTGGTTATTTACACTGAGTATACAAAACATTAAGGATACCTGCTCTTTCCATGACAGACTGACCAGGTGAATCCAGGTGAAAGCTATGATCCCTTATTGACACATGCCCTGAGTGCCTGGGTCAGTAATTCGGTCATGATTACTACAAGGTTTAGATAGCTGGCTAAATTAACTTACCTAGCAAAACAAATAATAATACTGAGATGGGCTTATTGAGTGACTGTCAGTGACTGACATAACAAGAGAAAAACTGCTGATGCACAACCACATTTCGAAATTGCACCTTGTGTATTCTACTATTTCTTACTCTCAACAGTAAATTGAGACCCTGACTGAATTACAAAAAAATTATGAAAATCTGTGGTAAAAAAGCATCCACTTACGTCGCTTATTGGTAGGGCTGGCCCTGGCTAAACCATTGCCTTCTAAACCATTGCCTCAACAAGCATGGTTGCACATAACCAAGTAACTGGTTGAAAACTATTTTACCCGACACAGAGGTTGTATTGGGCTAAAATATCTACCAAAGACTAATAACCATCCTCAGATTCGCACAGGCCTTTCTAACTCGACCTGTACATTTAATAGCAGAGATCTCAATAACCAAAATAATACATTCAATGACAAAATCCACAGGAAAAGTGGTGCACGCTTCTCGAGCAACTGTGGATGTAGGCCTACATACATGCACACGTCTGCAGGTGTGCCTCGTATAGAACGCGGACGTACACGAGCGGAGCTCCGAGAAGCGGCAACAAACACAAAGCACTCAACTCTAACTAATGCAATTGTAAACTGAGGGAATGTGATGAGGTGGTGTTGAAGGAGTCAGGCGGAGGAGGGTAAATCACAGAATAACAGGCTTTAATCCGCAAAATATAGGTTTACGCAGAAATGCGTCAAACACACTCCAGGGCACAAAACAGGCTCACTGGAAAATACAAGGCACACAGGAAATACTCCAGTCGATACACAATACACGAGCTCCACGAGCTTCACTAACCTCCACAATAAACAATCACCCACACAGACAAGGAAGCAGAGGGAACACTTATACCATGACTAATGAGGGATAAGGACCAGGTGTGTGTGATTGAAGACAAGACAAATGGAGTGATGATAAATGGATCGGCAGTAGCTAGTAAGCCGGTGACGCCGAACGCCAAAACCTGCCCGAACAAGGAGGGGAGGCAGCCTCGGCGGAAGTCGTGACAGGGAAAATACGTTCACTTGAATTACATGGGCATTTGCTAGCAATAGGTCATGGGAGTAGCCTAATTAATAGCATCAAACACATCTGTATAACAGCCTACTCTAAATATCATGTTTGTTGGAGAGTGGGGCAGATTTCGCCATCACATTGGTTAGTACTATACCCTTCACAGGCAGATTTATAGCTGCACAGAAATCCTATAATTCACCTATAATTCAGGTTCTATATGTAATTCTATGGCTAGCTGATTCTCTATTTACCAGGTCACTGGTGCTGTCTATAGCTTCCACATTTTATACACATAATGAGACAAACTGACTGCACCTGTGTGTGTGTCTGTATGTGTGTGTGTGTGTGTCTGTGTGTGTGTGTGTCTGTGTGTGTGTGTGTGTGTGTGTGTGTGTGTGTGTGTGTGTGTGTGTGCATGTCTGTGTGTGTGTGTGTTCATGCATTTGCTAGTGTCTGTAATATAATATATAAATATAATAAATAAATAAATAAATAAAAGAGATATGATCTGCTGTTGCTGGGTTATCTGTAACCCTGAGGCAGACAAACACTGTGTGTGTGTGTGTGTGTGCGTGTGCGTGTGCGTGTGCGTGTGTGTGTGCGTGTATCAAGGTAAAGAGTGACTTAGTGAGTGATGGCTGACTGCAGTTTAGAAAAGAAATCTGTTCTCTGTGAGTGGCTCTGAAAGGGACCTGTTCTGTGCTGTCTGACTCAAGGCTAAGAGAACTGAGCGCTCATATCCAGTACGTACTGTGTGTGCGTGCGTGTGTGCGTGTGTGAGTGTGTGTGTGCGTGGATGTGTTGTTAGCAATATGTATGCTGCATGTGTGTGCGAATCCAGAACACCGTAGACTGTGGATGTGTTGTTAGCAATGTGTATGCTGCATGTGTGTGCGAATCCAGAACACCGTAGACTATGTCCGCTTCAACAGCTTTCCTTTTCTTTCACAAAAACAAAGTGTTCCTTTCTTAGCTTGTACTGCATGAATGGTCTTTAAATCGTCTTGTGAGAGATTTGGGTGTAAACCATTTCTTAAGTCCCGCAGCTGAAAAAGCGAAGCTGTGGAACCAGCTAAGGAACTAAAAATACAACTTGTGTGAGATTTGGTTTCTCAGGCTAAGCCTTTTCAGAGACCTGTCTGAATTGGTCCCAACTCTCTGAGTACAGGAGCTTCAGTTCTCTGGGCGGTGGAGAGTAGCGGAGTGTAGAGAAGGTATCTTGCAAAACTAGGCTCAGGTGATGAATAAACTTGCTTGAGATCTGAAGCTCAGGGAGCTACCATAATGCCTGTCTGTATAGTGCCTTCAGAAAGTATTCACACCCCTTGACTTTTTCCAATTATGTTGTGTTACAGCCTGAATTTAAAATGGATTACATTTTGTTTTTTTTGTCACTGGCCTACACACAATATCACATAATGTCAAAGTGGAATTATGTTTTTAGAAATGTTTACAAATTAACAAAAAATGAAGAGCTGAAATGTCTTGAGTCAATAAGTATTCAACCCCATTGTTATGGCAAGCCTAAATAAGTTCAGGAGTAAAAATATGCTTAACAAGTTACTTTATAAGTTGCATGGACTCACTCTGTGTGCAATACTAGTGTTTAACATGATTTTTGTATGACTACCTCATCTCTGTACCCCACACATACAATTATCTGTAAGGTCCCTCAGTCGAGCAGTGAATTTCAAACACAGATTCAACCACAAAGACCAGGGAGGTTTTCCAATGCCTTGCACAGAAGGGCACCTATTGGTAGATGGGTAAAAAAAAAGCAGACATTGAATATCCCTTTGAGCATAAAGAAGTCATTAAATACACTTTGGATACCCAGTCACTACAAAGATACAGGCGTCCTTCCTAACTCGGTTGCCAGAGAGGAAGGAAACCAGTCAGGGATTCACCATGAGGCCAATGGTGACTTTAAAACAGTTACAGACTATAATGGCTGTGATAGGAGAAAACTGAGGATGGATCAACAACATTGTTGTTACACCACAATACTAACCTAATTGACAGAGTGAAAAGAAGGAAGCCTGTACAGAATACAAATATTTCAAAACATGCATCCTGTTTGCAACAAGGCACTGAAGTGTTACTGCAAAAAATGTGGCAAAGCAATTAACTTTTTATCCTGAATACAAAGTGTTATGTTTAGGGCAAATCCAATACAAAACATTACTGAGTACCACTCCTAAAATGTTCAAGCATAGTGTTGGCTGCATCATGTTTTGGGTATGCTTGTAATCATTAAGGACTGGGGAGTTTTTCAGGATAAAAAATAAACGGAATGGAGCTAGGCACAGGCAAAATCCTAGAGGAAAACCTGGTTCAGTCTGCTTTCCACCAGACACTGGGAGATTAATTCAGGGGGGTATACAGAATATAGCCCTATTTGGTTAAAGACCAAGTCCATATTATGGCAAGAACAGCTCAAATAAGCAAAGAGAAATGACAGTCCATCATTACTTTAAGACATGAAGGTCAGTCAATACGGAACATTTCAAGAACTTTTAAAGTTTCTTCAAGTGCAGTCGCAAAAACCATCAAGCGCTATGATGAAACTGCCTCTCATGAGGACCGCCACAGGAATGGAAGACCCAGAGTTACCTCTGCTGCAGAGGATAAGTTCATTAGAGTTACCAGCCTCAGAAATTGCAGCCCAAATAAATGCTTCACAGAGTTCAAGTCACAGACACATCTCAAGATCAATTGTTCAGAGGAGACTGTGTGAATCAGGCCTTCGTGGTCGAATTGCTGGTAGAGCACGGCGCTTGTAACGCCAAGGTAGTGGGTTCGATCCCCGGGACCACCCTTACACAAAAAAAAAAATGTATGCACGCATGACTGTAAGTCCCTTTGGATAAAAGCGTCTGCTAAATGGCATATTATTATTATATTATTAAACCACTACTAAAGGACACCAATAAGAAGAAGAGACTTGCTTGGGCCAAGAAACACGAGCAATAGACATTAGACCGATGGAAATGTGTCCTTTTTTTTGGTTCCAACCGCTGTGTCATTGTGAGATGCGGTGTGGGTGAACGGATGATCTACGCATGTGTATTTCCCACCGTAAAGCATGGAGGAGGAGGTGTTATGGTGTGGGGGTGCTTTGCTGGTGATACTGTCTGTGATTTATTTAGAATTCAAGGCACATTTAACCAGCATGGCTACCACAGCATTCTGCAGCGATACGCCATCCCATCTGGTTTGGGCTTGGTGGGACTATCATTTGTTTTTCAACAGGACAATGACACAACACACCTCCAGGCTGTTTAAGGGCTATTTTACCAAGAAGGAGAGTGATGGAGTGCTGCATCAGATGACTTGGCCTCCAGAATCCCCCGACCTCAACCCAATTGAGATGGTTTGGGATGAGTCAGACCGCAGAGTGAAGGAAAAGCAGCCAACAAGTGCTCAGCATATGTGGGAACTCCTTCAAGACTGTTGGAAAAGCATTCCAGGTGAAGCTGGTTGAGAGAATGCCAAGAGTGTGCAAAGCTGTCATCAAGGCAAAGGGTGGCTCCTTTGAAGAATCTCAAATATTAAATATAGTTTGATTTCTTTAAAACTTTTTTAGTTACTACATGATTCCATATGTATTATTTCATAGTTTTGATGTAGAAAATAGTAAAAATAAAGAAAAAACCCTTGAATGAGTAGGTGTGTCCAAACGTTTGACTGGTACTGTACATCTACTTGGAAATCTATGGCAAGACCTGAAAATGGTTGTTTAGCAATGATCAAAAACCAATTTGACAGAGCTTGAAGAATTTTGAAAAGAATAATGGACAAATGTTGCACAATCCAGGTGTGGCAAGCTCTTAGAGACTTACCCAGAAAGACGCATAGCTGTAATCACTGCCAAAAGTGCTTCTACAAAGTATTGGCTCAGCAGTGTGAATACTTATGTAAATGAGATATTTCTGTACTTCGTTTTCAATAAATATGCTAAAATTTCAAAGACATGTTTTCACTTTGTCATTATGGAGTATTGTGTGTAGATGGGTGAGAAAAAAATATATTTAATCAATTTTGAATTAAGGCTGTAACACAACAAAATGTGGAATAAGTCAAGGGGTATGAATACTTTCTGAAGGCACTGTATATTTTCTTTGTGAGTGTTCTCACTGAGCTGTGTTCTCTCTCTCTCTCTCTCTCTCTCTCTCGCTCTATCTCTGTCTCTCTCTCTCTTTCCAGGGCTCCTCCACGCTTTAAGGGCTACCAGCAGCAAGACAGCTAGCAGTTGCTTCACTACCTTCTGTGAGAGTGGAGCAGACCAAGGTGAGCTACACATTACCTGTGATAGCGTGGTGGGATAAGGTTTCTACACATTACCTGTGATAGCATGGTGGGAGAAGGTTTCTACACATTACCTGTGATTGCGTGGTGGGAGAAGGTTTCTACACATTACCTGTGATTGCGTGGTGGGAGTAGGTTTCTACACATTACCTGTGATAGTGTGGTGGGAGAAGGTTTCTACACATTACCTGTGATTGCGTGGTGGGAGAAGGTTTCTACACATTACCTGTGATAGCGTGGTGGGAGAAGGTTTCTACACATTACCTGTGATTGTGTGGTGGGAGAAGGCTTCTACACATTACCTGTGATAGTGTGGTGGGAGAAGGTTTCTACACATTACCTGTGATTGCGTGGTGGGAGAAGGTTTCTACACATTACCTGTGATTGCGTGGTGGGAGAAGGTTTCTACACATTACCTGTGATAGTGTGGTGGGAGAAGGTTTCTACACATTACCTGTGATTACGTGGTGGGAGAAGGTTTCTACACATTACCTGTGATAGCGTGATGGGAGAAGGTTTCTACACATTACCTGTGATTGCGTGGTGGGAGAAGGTTTCTACATATTACCTGTGATTGCATGGTGGGAGAAGGTTTCTACACATTACCTGTGATAGCGTGGTGGGAGAAGGTTTCTACACATTACCTGTGATAGCATGGTGGGAGAAGGTTTCTACACATTACCTGTGATGGCGTGGTGGGAGAAGGTTTCTACACATTACCTGTGATTGCGTGGTGGGAGAAGGTTTCTACACATTACCTGTGATTGCGTGGTGGGAGAAGGCTTCTACGTAGGTTAGGTAGTTGTGGGGACAGTGTTTCTTCAGCCACTTGCAGACATCCTGTTGGGTCCACAGCACCACTGGTTTGGACAGACTGGACAGAGTAGGACTGGTGTGGTACACAGTGAAGGCTTCGCCTGGATGCAGCTGAAACACACAGAGTATGGGGGTTACAATGTGTGTGTGTGTGTGTGTGTGTGTGTGTGTGTGTGTGTGTGTGTGTGTGTGTGTGTGTGTGTGTGTGTGTGTGTGTGTGTGTGTGTGTGTGTGTGTGTGTGTGTGTGTGTGTGTGTGTGTGTGTGTGAACATGGAAGCAAGCATCAAGGAGACAGAGGTCATGATTTTTTATTTTGTTGTGTCAGTGCACTCTGTGTTGTGACTGAGTGATTGTGTGTGAAGATTATTTGTGGTGACTGAGTGATTGTGTGTGAACATTATCTGTTGTGACTGAGTGATTGTGTGTGAACATTATTTGTGGGGACTGAGTGATTGTGTGTGAACATTATTTGTGGGGACTGAGTGATTGTGTGTGAACATTATTTGTGCTGGCTGAGTGATTGTGTGTGAACATTATTTGTGGTGACTGAGTGATTGTGTGTGAACTTTATTTGTGGTGACTGAGTGATTGTGCGTGAACATTATTTGTGGTGACTGAGTGATTGTGTGTGAACATTATTTGTGGTGACTGAGTGATTGTGTGTGAACATTATTTGTGGGGACTGAGTGATTGTGTGTGAACATTATTTGTGCTGGCTGAGTGATTGTGTGTGAACATTATTTGTGGTGACTGAGTGTGTGTGTCATTTTGTATTTTTCCAGGTCAGCTGCCGTAGTGCTTTCAGCAGTGTGATGGCTGTGGCCACTGCTGCATGAGATCTGCCAATGTCTCTTACCCTAACCCTTACCCCTTACCCCTAACCCTAATTCTAACCCCATAGCCTAAAATAGCCTTTTTATTTGTTGGGACCAACGAAATGTCCCCACTTGTCTGAATTTTACCTTGTTTTACTATCCTTGTGAGGAGTTCTGGTCCCCAAAAGGATAGTAAAACCAAACACACACACACAAAACACACACTCACCATCTCTGCCCCCAGTCCTTTATTCAGCTGGCATAATTACTGAGTTTAATATGTCCATTCATAAGGTCATTGACCATTAATAAGGTCAGACCAGAGCCAGCATCTCTCTGATGGATTCATGGATTACATTTATACATGCCACCTATTAATCCAGCCTGTGATTGGCCCAATGCTTGAAGCAAGGCAATTGGCCTTAATTTCCCTGAAATCTGTCACATAAACAGGGTTTAAATAGCCTCTCCACCATGACTCAACTTGATACTACCACATTCACTGACACACACACACACACACACACGAGCATGTGCATGCATAGACACACAAACCCTACTAATCACTGGCTGAGACTCTATCAGGACTTCTCAAAAGCCTTGTTTACACTGCAGGCCTTCATGCTCAAGTTTTGTTTTCAAAATCAGTTTTGGAATACTGACTGTCCAAACAGCAAGTTACAAGTGACCAAATCGGAATTGTATGTATTCAGACAGCAATCATTTGCTGACATGGCTACACTAATTGTCATAGTAATGATGGGTGTGTGCACAGTGGTGTAGGCTGATTGGTGGTGGTGCTGCTGCTTCCTATCACTCAGAAGTTATGTAGCAGGCTAAGGTGATAGTAGGGCTGTTACGGTAACCGTATTACCGCCACACCGGCGGTCACGAGTCATGACCGGTCACCGCCACACCGGCGGTCATGAGTCATGACCGCAGTCAAATTCCACGTGACCATTTAATCACGGTAACTAGGCTTCTCCAAAACTGTGCTCTGAAGCTGCTGATGGTCATTAGTAGCCTACCAAACTTGCTAACTGCCAGTCGCTAATGGCCTGGTACTCAGAGATCTAATGTCCCTCTAATCACTCTAAAATCAATGCAAATGAAATTGAAAATCAAATCAAACACTTCATGAGTGCCCATGAGCTCATGTTGCGCAACATTTCTATAGGCTATGCAATTGTGTGAGAAAACAGAGTTTTGATGGCCTCTATTAAAAAGAGGAGGATCCCATCAGCTTTCTATAGGCTAGGCCTACTATATTTATTTCTCAACTTTCCTAATATTAAGCACATTGCTTCGCTTTACAACAGGAGTATAGCCTACCTGGCTGGCATGAAAATGAACCGTGTGAAAAGCGTCCTCCATTCGCTATTTAAGTACATAGATGACATGTATTTTTTCCCCATGCCCCTGTTCCGACAGGTGCATGATAATGGTCCATCCTAAATCAAAACTAATTTCACACATATTATTTAGTATATGTAAAGACAAGATTAAATTAAGAATAGTCTGATTGGTGACAATATTATCACTTGTGAATGATGTATTATCATATGTGAATTATGCCCAGCATTTGCAGTAAGACAAGAAACAGCACATGCCTTTTTTTGTGCGACTTTTTCAAATCATAGTCAAACACCTCATGTAGCCTAACCCATGGGCCTATATGCTTTGATAAGGTTTATACCACAACAAAAGTGGCCAAATAACTCCAAATGTAGCCTATAGACCTAGGACACCTGGAACATGGTTAGAGAGCACATAGCCTACAGAGCCGAGTGAAACGTGTTCTTATAAGCCCAGTCATTGTGCAATAGCATGTGAAAACAGAGTTTTGACTGGCCACTATTTAAAAGAGGATCCCAGCTTTCTCGTGCTGCTATATTTATTGCTAAATTCTTAGAATGAAGCACATTAATCCGCTTTATAACCTGGCATACATAGGCGGTGCGTGAGTTTCAAGTTTCACCATAAAAATTGAACTTTATAATAAAGCATTCCATGCATCATCGCATTTGCAGACCTATGTAAGATAGCCTACTATTATGAATGTCATGAGTAGATTGGATAGTCATAATTTAGGCTAATAATATAACTCAATCACTGTGCACAAAAAAATACTGTTCAATGCATGGCTGAGAGAGTATAGTGTAGAGTAGGCCTAGGCTATATCAGATACGTTTCTTCTTTCTTTGCAAGGTAAAAATGTGGCCTTTTATAAACACATTTCATGCAATTCAACTACACTTTATATGACTGGAGACATTAGCAGAATCTTTTTTAATATGACAAATTACAGGGTAGCTTCCTCTGCTGACATTGACAAACAGATTAATAAAAATGACATTGTCCATATAATAGGCCTACGAGAAGGGGAGACACAAATAGAATATGACATCCATCTAAACTGGAGGAGGAAATTGTTGTCAAAAAACAAACCTTTAAGTAGCACTGACCTAACAATGATAAATAGTGAATATGCGCAGTACACACTGACCTGGGATATTGCTGATGCTCTCCGCTGGTGCCAATAAGATAGGCTATACTGTTTTGATAACTAAAAGACAGATTAGTCTTTTCATTGTCTTCTCTTTACAGCAATAACCATTTGCTTTCCAAACTATGTTTTCCTACGATTGTATTTTGAAATATTGCAATATGCCTGGCTTGGCCTCTCTACTTTTCACAGACAGTCGCAACTCAACAATAACCTGCCCAATAACCTGCCTTTCCTTTCAACTATTGGCAATACGATTTAAAACAATCCACAACTGATACTGAACAAAAATATAAACGCATCATGCAACAATTTCAATGATTTTACTGAGTTACAGTTCATATAAAGAAATCAGTCAATTGAAATAAATTCATTAGGCCCTAATCTATGGATTTCACATGACTGGGGAGCCAGGCCCAGCCAAACAGAATTAGTTTTTCCCCACAAAAGGGCTTTATTACAGACAGAAATACTCCTCAGTTTCATCAGCTGTCCGGGTCTCAGACGATCCCGCAGGTGAAGAAGCCGGATGTGGAGGTCCTGGGCTGGCGTGGTTACACGTGGTCTGCGGTTGTGAGGCCAGTTGGACGTACTGCCAAATTCTCTAAAACGACGTTGGAGGCGGCTTATGGTAGAGAAATTAACATTCAATTCTCTGGCAACACCTCTGGTGGACATTCCTGCAGTCAGCATACCAATAGCACGCTCCCTCTAAACTTGTGACATCTGTGGCATTGTGTTGTGTGGCCTTTTATTGTCCCCAGTACAAGGTGCACCAGTGTAATGATCATGCTGTTTAATCAGCTTCTTGATATGCCACACCTGTCGGGTGGATGGATTATCTTGGCAAAGGAGAAATGCTCACTAACAGCGATGTAAACACATTTGTGAACAAACTTTGAGAGAAATAAGCTTTTTGTGCATATGGAATATTTCGGGGATCTTTTATTTCAATTCATGAAACATGGGACCAACACTTTACATGTTGCGTTTATATTTTTGTTCCGAATATATAAAAAAGAAGCTAATGATCCTCTGTGGCCAAATCATGCTTTAGTAGCATTTTGAATGATTTAATTTACAGTGCATTCGGAAAGTATTCAGACCCCTTCCGTTTTTCCACATTTTGTTACGTTACAGCCTTATTCTAAAATGGATTAAAAAAAAAAAATCCTTATCAATTTACACACAATACCCCATAATGACCAATCGAAAACAGTTTTTTAGAAATGTTTGCAAATTTGTTAAAATAAAAAAACAGAAATACCTTATTTACATAATTATTCAGACCCTTCTCTATGAGACTTGAAATTGAGCTGAGGTGCATCCTGTTTCCATTGATCAGCATTAAGATGTTTATACAACTTAATTGGAGTGCACCTGTGGTAAATTCAATTGATTGGACATGATTTGGAAAGGCACACACCTGTCTATATAAGGTCCCACAGTTGACAGTGCATGTCAGAGCAAAAACCGAGCCTTGAGGTCAAACGAATTGTCCGTAGAGCTCCGAGACAGGATTTTGTCGAGGCACAGATCTAGGAAAGGGTACCAAAAAATGTCTGCAGCATTGAAGGTCCCCAAGAACACAGTGGCCTCCATCATTCTTAAATGGAATACGTTTGGAACCGCCAAGACTCTTCCTAAAGCTGGCCGCCCGGCCAAACTGAGCAATCGAGGGAGAAGGGCTTGCTCAGGGAGGTGACCAAGAATCAAATGGTCACTCTGACAGAGCTCCAGAGTTCCTCTGTGGAGATGGGAGAACCTTCCACAAGGACAACCATCTCTGCAGCACTCCACCAATCAGGCCTTTATGGTAGAGTGGCCAGACGGAAGCCACTCCTCAGTAAAAGGCACATGATAGCCTGCTTGTAGTTTGCCAAAAGGCCCCTAAAGGACTCTCAGACCATGAGAAACAAGATTCTCTGGTCTGATGAAACCAAGATTTAACTATTTGGCCTGAATATCAAGCGTCACGTCTGGAGGAAACATGGTACCATCCCTACGATGAAGCATGGTGGTGGCAGCATCATGCTGTGGGGATGTTTTTCAGCGGAAGGGATTGGGAGACTAGTCAGGATCGAGGGAAAGATGAACAGAGAAAAGTATAGTGAGATCCTTGATGAGAACCTGCTCCAGAGTGCTCAGGACCTCAGAGTAGGGCGAAGGTTCACCTTCCAACAGGACAACGACCCTAAGCACACAGCCAAGACAACGCAGGAGTGTCTTCGGGACAAGTCTCTGAATGTCCTTGAGTGGCCCAGCCTCGACTTGAACCTGATCGAACATCTCTGGAGAGACCTGAAAATAGCTGTGCAGCGATGCTCCCCATCCAACCTAACAGAGCATGAGAGGATCTGCAGAGAAGAATGGGAGAAACTCCCCAAATACAGGTGTGCCAAGCTTGTAGCGTCATACCCAAGAAGACTCGAGGCTGTAATCGCTGCTAAAGGTGCTTCAACAAAGTACTGAGTAAAGGGTCTGAATACTTATGGAAATTTGCCTAACATTCTAAAATCATTTTTTTGCTTTGTCATTAAGGTGTATTGTGTGTAGATTTATGAGGAACATTTTTTATTTAATAAATTTTATAATAAGGCTGTAACGTAACAAAATGTGGAAAAACTCAAGGGGTCTCAATACTTTCCGAATGCACTGTATTTTTGTATAGACAGGAGTAGGCTAATTAGGCTATATCGTTTTGACAATTTAGTTCAATTTATTTTAGGAAAAGCTTCCCCTAGCCTTATGGATGTGCTGCCTATGCTTGCATATTAAAAATATAACCACACGTAACCTCCATTTGCTATTCAATTGCAGGCTACGGATGACGTTTTGTTTGTAGGCCATGCTAAATACAAAATAATTCCATCCATAGGCTATATGCAAAGACCAGATTAAATTAAGAATAGTCTGATGGGTAAGAATATTATCAAGTGCTTGTCAAATTGTGAATGAGAGAGTGATGAAGTGTGCAGCCTGCACAATAAACAAAGCAGAGCTCATGCCTTTCATGCAACTTTGTTCAAATCATCATTAGAGTCATCATGCAGCCTTAAATGTATAAAAAATGAAAACATGTAACCTACCGTTTATATCACTACTAAAGCTGCATGAAAAACTCTAAATTAAGCATATAGAAGGACATGTTTCTTTGTTAACTGGTCAACACAGAATAGCCGCATGTGCGCACTCCCTCTGAAATCATTTGGAGAAAAGATCCTCTCATGGATGTTTCGCAGGTGCTTTGAATGTTCAAAATCATAATGTAAGAATACTTTTAAAGCCTCAAAAGAAAAGAAGATCCAACTTTCAAAACGAGTCCTTTTTTGCAAGCTACAGCAGTCAGCTAGCTAGCCAAAGTTTCTAGCGCATTCCCTAATTTGTTTGTAAACAATTAATAGTAGCTACCACATGTTCTTGTCAAACTGTCAACAGAGTAGCTAGCAAGCAACAAGATATGCCAAATAACAGTCTAAAAACCATTTGAGGGCAAATAAATCAGATTTTACTGTTCAGACAGAAGTCGCATGTCCAGGAATCAGATTTGTATCTGATTTCAAACCACCTACGAAGGTGGTTTGAAATTTGGCTTTGAAATATCTGATTCCATGTGCTTTTTGGCTGTTCAGACTGCAGGTAAAAAAGAACAGATTCGAATCAGATATGCAAAAAAACAGGATATGAGTCACTTCAAACTGTCAATTTGAACAAGGCTGAAGTGCGTTCTGGTATGTAAGCCTTAATTGAAAACAACTTTATCTGTGTGCTCGAGTATACAGTGCTCACACACACGCACACAGACACACACACACACACACACACACACACACACACACACACACACACACACACACACACACACACACACACACGCACACAGACACACACACACACACACACACACACACACACACACACACACACACACACACACACACACACACACAGACACACACACACACACACTGTAGCACTATGCCCAGTCCTCTAATCACACACATAATTCACTCCCTGTGCAATAATACGCTGAAGCCATTTTAATAGCCCACATCGCTTCACCGCAACACTCACCCTTAATTGAGATCCAGTTAGGAAAGGTGTGAAAATGCTTGCTCTTTTGGATGATCAAGTTGGAGTGTGTGTGTGAAAAGCTTTCTTGGTTATAGATGGCTCTTTCTCTCCCTTCAGTGAGAGGAGGCTTCGTACTGGACACAGAGTCAATAGCAAGGCTGTATTTAGTGTTGTAGATAAGTCACTCTGACTGAGAGAATGGGTTAGCTAATTAAGACAAGGCTATCACTACTATGCCCTGTGTCAATGGAAAGGAATGGCTGATGGGGCCAGACAATCAGACAGGCTGCAAGACAGAGACATAGATAGGGAGACAGAGAAAGACATACAGTCAGCAAGCAAGACAGTCAGAGAATAAGACAGTCAGAGAATCAGATAGTCAGAGAGCAAGACAGTCAGAGAATCAGACAGTCAGAGAATCAGACAGTCAGAGAGCAAGACAGTCAGAGAATCAGATAGTCAGAGAGCAAGACAGTCAGAGAATCAGACAGTCAGAGAGCAAGACAGTCAGAGAATCAGATAGTCAGAGAGCAAGACAGTCAGAGAGTGAGACAGTCAGAGAGCAAGACAGTCAGAGAGTGAGACAGTCAGAGAATCAGACAGTCAGAGAATCAGACAGTCAGAGAGCAAGACAGTCAGAGAATCAGATAGTCAGAGAGCAAGACAGTCAGAGAATCAGACAGTCAGAGAGCAAGACAGTCAGAGAATCAGATAGTCAGAGAGCAAGACAGTCAGAGAGTGAGACAGTCAGAGAGCAAGACAGTCAGAGAATCAGACAGTCAGAGAGCAAGACAGTCAGAGAGTGAGACAGTCAGAGAGCAAGACAGTCAGAGAATCAGATAGTCAGAGAGCAAGACAGTCAGAGAATCAGACAGTCAGAGAGCAAGACAGTCAGAGAATCAGACAGTCAGAGAGCAAGACAGTCAGAGAGTGAGACAGTCAGAGAGCAAGACAGTCAGAGAATCAGATAGTCAGAGAAACAGACAGTCAGAGAATCAGACAGTCAGAGAGCAAGACAGTCAGAGAGTGAGACAGTCAGAGAGTGAGACAGTCAGAGAGTGAGACAGTCAGAGAGTGAGACAGTCAGAGAATCAGATAGTCAGAGAGCAAGACAGTCAGAGAATCAGACAGTCAGAGAGTGAGACAGTCAGAGAATCAGACAGTCAGAGAGCAAGACAGTCAGAGAATCAGACAGAGACCCAGAAAACCTGAGCTTACACCTCACTAAGAAAAGTAAAACAGCAAGTCAGAAAATAGCTCAATGTAACTGAAGAAGAATGAGACATGATCAATAAAAAAGAGTCATTGTTATCCATGTACACAAACAACAAGTCTGCGGTTAAAATTGGCAAAAAACACACTGATTTCTTCCCTCAGGAACTGGGGGTGAGACAGAGATGCAGCTTGAGTCCCATCCTCTTCAAAAGTTATATAAACGAATTGGCGAGGGCTCTAGAACAGTTTGAAGCACATGTTTACTGTTTGCAGATGATCTGGTGCATCTGCCCAAACCAAGGACGGCCTACAACAGCACCTACCAGTTTGGACACACTACTCATTCAAGGGTTTTTCTTTATTTTTACTATTTTCTACATTGTAGAATAATAGTGAAGACATCAAAACTATGAAATAACACATATGGAATCATGTAGTAATCAAAAAAGTGTTAATCAAATCTAAATATATTTTATATTTGAGATTCTTCAAAGTAGCCACCCTTTGCCTTGATGACAGCTTTGCACACTCTTGGCATTCTCTCAACCATCTTCATGAGGTAGTCACCTGGAATGCATTTCAATTAACAGGTCGGCAATATAGAAGTTAATTTGTGTTTGAGTCAATCAAGTGTTGTGACAAGGTAGGGGGGCTATACAGAAGATAGCCTTATTTGGTAAAAAAAAAAGTCCATATTATGGCAAGAACAGCTCAAATAAGCAAAGAGAAATGATAGTCCATCATTACTTTAAGAGATGAAGGTCAGTCAATACGGACATTTTCAAGAACTTTGAAAGTTTCTTCAAGTGCAGTCGCAAAAACCATCAAGCGCTATGATGAAACTGGCTCTCATGCGGACCACCACAGGAATGGAAGACCCAGAGTTACCTCTGCTGCAGCGGATAAGTTCATTAGAGTTACCAGCCTCAGAAATTGCAGCCCAAATGAATGCTTCACATAGTTCAAGTAACAGACACATCTCAACATCAACTGTTCAGAGGGGACTGTGTGAATCAGGACTTCATGGTCGTATTGCTGCAAAGAAACCACCACTAAAGGATACCAATAATAAGAAGAGACCTGCTCGGGCCAAGAAACACGAGCAATGGACATTAGACCGGTGGAAATTAGTCCTTTGGTTTGGAGTCCAAATTTGAGATTTCTGGTTCCAACCGCCATGTCTTTGTGAGATGCAGAGTAGGTGAACGGATGATCTCCGCATGTGTGGTTCCCGCCATGAAGCATGGAGGAGGAGGTGTTATGGTGTGGGGGGTGCTTTGCTGGTGACACTGTCTGTGATTTATTCAGAATTCAAGGCCATCCCATCTGGTTTGGGCTTAGTGGGACTATCATTTGTTTTTCAACAGGACAATGACCCAACATACCTCCAGGCTGTCTAAGGGCTATTTTACCAAGAAGGAGAGTGATGGAGTGCTGCATCAGATGACCTGGCCTCCACAATCCCCCGACCTCAACCCAATTGAGATGGTTTGGGATGAGTCGGATCGCAGAGTGAAGGAAAAGCAGCAAACAAGTGCAATCCTCAGTATTCTCTGCAAAACATCCTCAGTGCACAACATAAAACACAGAAAATAGCAATTAAAACCTTCCATAACAAAGCCCTCACCTACAGAGACATGAACCTGGAGAAGAGTATCCTCAGCCAGCTGGTCCTGGGACTCTGTTCACAAATACAAACAGACCCCACAGAGCCCTAGGACAGCAACACAATTAGACCCAACCAAATCATGAGAAAACAAAAAGATAATTACTTGACACATTGGCCCTAAACAGAGAATACACAGTAGCAGAGTACCTGACCACTTTGACTTACCCAAAATTAAGAAAAGCTTTGACAATGTACAGACTCAGCGAGCATAGCCTTGCTATCAAGAGAAGCTGTCATAGGCAGACCTGGCTCTCAAGAGAAGACAAGCTATGTGCACACTCCCAACAAAATGAGGTGGAAACTGAGCTGCACTTCCTAACCTCCTGCCAAATGTATGACCATATTAGAGACACATATTTCCCTCAGATTACACAGATCCACAAACCATTATAAATACAATTTATATTTATCTGTTTATTTATTTTCACTGTACATAGCCTATATTATTTTAAAACTTTTGTGAGTGTAATGTTTACTGTTATTTTCTGATTGTTTATTTCCCTTTTGTTTATGATCTATTTCACTTGCTTTGACAATGTAAACATGTGTTTCCCATGCCAATAAAGCCCTTTGAATTGAATTTAATTGAAATTGAGAGCGAGAGGAGTAAGGAGAAGAGAACGCGAAGGGAGGGGGAGAAGAGAAGAGAGAGAGAGAGAGAGAAGAGAGAGAGAATAGAGATATAGCGAGATAGATCAGAGATAAGAGAGAGAGAGAGAGAGAGAGAGAAGAGAGAGAGAGAGAGAGAGAGAGCGCGAGAGCGATGTAGAGAGGACCGAAGAGCGGGATAGAGAAGAGAAGAGAGAAGAGAGAGAGAGAGGGCATGTGAAACAGGGCTATCTATAAGAGAGAGATGGCATGTGAAACAGGGCTATCTATAATTTGACAGAGGCTCAAATATGAAGGTGAATAATGACCTTCATCATCAGCAGACCAGACAGAGGGGAAATGGAAAGCGGAGAGTCTCCCTCCCTCCCTCCCTCCCTCCCTCCCTCCCTCCCTCCCTCCCTCCCTCCCTCCACTCCTCTCTTTTCATGACCATCCATCAGGCTTTATCTCCTCTTCTTCTCTTTCGTCTCTCTCTGCCTCCCTCCCTCCCTCCTTCCCTCATCCCTCCCTCCTCTCCTCTGGTTTTGAAGCCATTCATCAAGCTGTATCTCACCCCGGCCAGTGGGCCAGCTCTGTGCTGTAAGCGCTCAACCTTAACCCCTAGAAACCTACTTCTGTCTAACAGAAGGGGTAGAGGGGAGGTGTGTGTGAATGGGTGGAGCAGTAGCATGAATGGGATCTCAACCATGTAACAGCCATGTTTGACTGTCCCATTCAGAGGGGGAAATAGGATGGGGAGGCTGGAAGGGAGATGCTTCTGTGGATGATGGTATTCAATTAAAATATTGTGTCTACACAAGTGATATCTAGAGCTTAAAAGGGTTCTTCGGCTGTCCCCATAGGATAACCATTTGAAGAACCCTTTTTGGTTCCTTTCTCCCTTCCTTCCTCTTGATCTCACCCCTCTTTTCTTTCCTGTACAGAACAGGCAGCCTAGATGTGTTCCCTTGTTCCCCTTGTCTTTTTGATTCATTCCTGTATTCTTCTCTATTACCTTTTTTCTCTCTTCTCTCTCTGGACTTGATTCCTCTTTTCCTATCATCCAACCACCCTTCCTTCCTTCCTTCCTTCCTTCCTTCCTTCCTTCCTTCCTTCCGTCCTTCCTTCCTTCCTTCCTTCCTTCCTTCCTTCCTTCCTTCCTTCCTTCCTTCCTTCCTTCCTTCCTTCCTTCCTTCCTTCCTTCCTTCCTTCCTTCCTTCCTTCCTTCCTTCCTTCCTTCCTTCCTTCCTTCCTTCCTTCCTTCCCTTTTCATTTTGTTCTCTAATGTCTTTCACCTCCTCTACTTCCTCCACATCAAGTCCATTTCTCTCCCCCTCCTCTGACTCTCTCTATACTGACATACACTACACTACAAAAGTATGTGGACATCCCTTCAAATTAGTGGATTCGGCTATTTCAGCCACACTTGTTGCTGACAGGTGTATAAAATCGAGCATACTGCCATGCAATCTCCATAGACAAACACTGGCAGCATAATGGACCGTACTGAATAGCTCAGTTACCTTCAATGTGGCACCGTCATAAGATGCCACCTTTCCAACAAGTCAGTTCGTAACATTTTGCCCTGCTAGAGCTGCCCCGATCAACTGCAAGCGCTGTTAATGTGAAGTTGAAACGTCTAGGAGCAACAACGGCTCAACCGCGAATCGGCAGGCCACACAAGCTCACAGAACGGGACTGCCGAGTGCTGAAGTAAAAATCGTCTGTCCTCGGTTGCAACACTCATTACCGGGTTCCAAACTACCTCTGGAAGCAACGTCAGCACAATAACTGTTCGTCGGGAGCTTCATGAAATGGGTTTCCATGGCCAAGCAGCCGCACACAAGCCTAAGATCATCATGTGCAATGCCAAGCGTCGGCTGGAATGGTGTAAAGCTTGCCGCCATTGGACTCTGGATCAGTGGAAATGCATTCTCTGGAGTGATGAATCACGATTCACCATCTGGCAGTCCAACGGATGAAGCTGGGTTTGGCGGATGCCAGGAGAATGCTACCTCCCTGAATGCATAGTGCCAACTGTAAAGTTTGGTGGAGGAGGAATAATGGTCTGGAGCTGTTTTTCATTGTTCGGGCAGGCCCCTTAGTTCCAGTAAAGGGAAATGTTAACGCTCATGTAGTGTATCACTCTATGTCTCCTTGTCCTCTCCCCCTCCCTCCATCTTGTCACCCCTCTCTTTCTCCCCCTCCATATCCTCTCCTCTCCTCTCCTCTCCTCTCCTCTCCTCTCCTCTCCTCTCCTCTCCTCTCCTCTCCTCTCCTCTCCTCTCCTCTCCTCTCCTCTCCTCTCCTCTCCTCTCCTCTCCTCTCCTCTCCTCTGAGTTTCGAGCTGTCCATCTGTGTCTGAGTGTGTGTTTATAAGAGAAAGCGAGAGAGTTTTTGTCTCAGCCACTGGACGTCTCTCTGTGTGTATGTCTCTCTGTGTGCACGTCTCTCTGTGTGCACGTCTCTTTGTGTGTACGTCTCTCTGTGTGCACGTCTCTCTGTGTGTACGTCTCTCTGTGTGTACGTCTCTTTGTGTGTACGTCTCTCTGTGTGTACGTCTCTCTGTGTACACGTCTCTCTGTGTGACGTCTCTCTGTGTGCACGTCTCTCTGTGTGCACGTCTCTCTGTGTGCACGTCTCTCTGTGTGTACGTCTCTCTGTGTGACGTCTCTCTGTGTGCACATCTCTCTGTGTGTGCACGTCTCTCTGTGTGCACGTCTCTTTGTGTGCACGTCTCTCTGTGTGCACATCTCTGTGTGTGTGTGTGTGTGTGTGTCCTCTGTTCCCCAGTGGAGCTGAATCAGGGATTAGAGCAGAGTCAGATGAGTCCAGGGACTCCTTAAAATCTCTCTCCTTCACCTCCCCTCACACTCCCCTCCCCACCAGCCCCCCCCCCCACCCCCCCTCCCTCAGGCAACCTCCCCCTCCCCTCCCCACCAGCCCCTCCCCCCTCCCCCCTCACCCCCCCACCCCCCCCCTCCCTCAGGCAACCTCCCCCTCCCCTCCCCACCCGCCCTTCCCTCCCTCCAACAATAAAAGACATCCAGCCTCCTCCCTATAGCCTGCTGCTCCCGGGCCCTCTGCACCTCGGTCGACACGCTCCCTTGCCCCCCGCGAGACACACACACACACACACACACACCGCCTACATTGATCAAAAAGACTCAGCCAATTAGCAGAGGAACACTCTGGAGGTGTGTGTAGTGTGTGTGTTTGTGTGTTTGTGTGTGTGTGTGTGTGTGTGTTTGTGTGTTTCAGTTACAAAGCAGAAGCAAGGTGAACAGTAATGTCACAGCTTTCTAAACACTCTTAACATGCTCTCCCAATTCCCATCTTCCCTCTGGAACCCATCTCTTTCCCTTTCTCCACTGTCTATCACTTTGTCTCTCTTCCTCTATCAGTCTCTCTTCACACCCCTCCCTTATATTCATTGTTGACCTTCCCTTTTCTCTCAGCTCTCCCCCCTTCCTCTTCCTCTGTCTCTCCCCCCCTTCCTCTTCCTCTGTCTCTCACCTTCCTCTTCCTCTGTCTCTCCCCTTCCTCTTCCTCTGTCTCTCACCTTCCTCTTCCTCTGTCTCTCACCTTCCTCTTCCTCTGTCTCTCACCTTCCTCTTCCTCTGTCTCTCCCCTTCCTCTTCCTCTGTCTCTCACCTTCCTCTTCCTCTGTCTCTCACCTTCCTCTTCCTCTGTCTCTCACCTTCCTCTTCCTCTGTCTCTCACCTTCCTCTTCCTCTGTCTCTCCCCTTCCTCTTCCTCTGTCTCTCCCCTTCCTCTTCCTCTGTCTCTCACCTTCCTCTTCCTCTGTCTCTCCCCTTCCTCTTCCTCTGTCTCTCACCTTCCTCTTCCTCTGTCCCCTCCCTCCCTCCCTCATGTCATTATTCAATCACCCCTTTAATCTGTCTCTCCACCCCAGAGTCCCTGACCGACATGTGTCTCACCGTCCTTCATGTGATCCTCACACCTCCCCAGTCCTTACCTCTACCTCTACCTCTACCTCTATCACTCACAATGAGCCTTCATATATGTGCCTGCTGCAGTATTCACACCGTAGGCCCCTATAATATAATATCTATTTTCTTCTATAGCATCAGAGTCCACCATATGTCCATATTTCAACAGCATCCCTCATCTCTCTCACTTTATAATGTTCTTCTTCTTCTTTACTCATTCTCTCTCTGTCTCAAACGTCTACATAGCTGACCAACTATAAAGAATAAAGAATAAAACCAAACCAGCCAACCAGCCAACCAACCACCAAATCAACAGTCTCATTAGAACCAGCCAACCAATCACCAAACAAACAGTCTCGCAGTTGTAAATGAGAACCTGTTCTCAACTGGCTTACCTGGTTAAATAAAGGTGAAATAAAAAAAAAAGAAAATAAAAAAAGAACCAGCCAACCAACCACCAAACCAACGGTCTCATTAGAACCAGCCAACCAGCCACCAAACCAACGGTCTCATTAGAACCAGCCAACCAGCCACCAAACCAACGGTATCATTAGAATCAGCCAACCAGCCACCAAACCAACGGTATCATTAGAACCAGCCAACCAGCCATCAAACCAACGGTCTCATTAGAATCAGCCAACCAACCACCAAACCAACAGTCTCATTAGAATCAGCCAACCAATCACCAAACCAACGGTATCATTAGAACCAGCCAACCAGCCACCAAACCAACAGTCTCATTAGAACCAGCCAACCAATCACCAAACCAACGGTATCATTAGAACCAGCCAACCAGCCACCAAACCAACAGTATCATTAGAACCAGCCAACCAGCCACCAAACCAACAGACTCCTTATACACAACTGGACAAGCTATTTTTCTTCTCTATTCATGAATGTTCCTTTCTGAAGGAGATGTGTTCTTTACTTTGTTTCTGCTGCTCATAACTACATCAGAGATATGGAGTAACTGTTGCACCATGCAGACGATCAAAAATAAATCCCAACACCCTATTGACCAATTAGAATAGAGCTGTAGTATCAGTTCTTCATCGTTTGTGCTGTTTCTTATGAACAGTGTGTCAGTGTGTGATGTGTGAAAAGAGATTCTTAAAATTAGACAGTGAAGCGTCTTCTGGCCCTACCTTATCACCATTCACTGTGTGTGTGTTTATGTGCGTTTGTGTGCGTGTCTGTGTGTCTAGGCTGTTGTTTTACTAAAGTTGTTTCCTTATTAGTGCTGATCTCTGTTAAACCAACCTAATGGGCTCTAATCTAATCATCTCTCCACAGAGAGCTGGACACACACGCACGCACGCACGCACGCACGCACACACACACACACACACACACACACACACACACACACACACACACACACACACACACACACACACACACACACACACACACACACACACACACACACACACACACACACACACACACACCAGGACTGTTCTCACTCTCTGTACTGTTGAATAATGCATAGTGAGTCTTGTTGCTCAAAGCCATGTGGAAATCCTACAGCATGTTCTTCATACTATAGACAAGGCTTTTAATGATAAATCCTCTATATATTCACATGGAAACAGCTTCCTAACCCATTTGGATTAAACCTTTCAGACCTGTTTTAGGGATTAGAATATCTGTGAATTATTAAACAGTGTGGTGCGTGTTTGCACTTTCTTGTCGCCCACAGTTTCTCCAGGGCTTTGGAGAAATGGAACAAAGAACCTCTTTCCTCCCATGATTCCGTTGGCTTACAGGGCAACCAGGAATTGTGTTGTTATGTCATGCTCTCTTTTAGGTTAGGCACTGTAAAGGTCTTAAAATAGAATGGTGTTTTATTTTGCCTTTGTTTTGTTCTAGTGCACAGATGGAGATCCATATTGCATGAGAGCATCTTGTGGAAGAGACTGGCTTTCTGAAGTGTGTCTTTACTATGCAGGGTCACATAGTCAACCACAGGATTATGTCATCATGGTAACCACATTTCGACATAGACAAACCTTGTATAAAATATGTTGAATTTTGACCTTTAAAACAACGTCAGATCTTCAACGTTATATCCACTATCAGAAAATAAATAATGGGCTGTGCAGCACCTCCTACTGGAGAATTGATCTTATCTACAGCTACCCTTTGGTCTCATTTCCAGGGTTTTAACGAAGCCCTGCTTAGGTATGATAATTGTCTCTGACTATTACCAATGTGCTATCATGAGAATGATTGTTGAGAGATCTCCACTGTTGCTATCGAAGTAATTCCAAAGGGTAGGTTTAACAGAGCAAATGAAATGTGACCATACTTTATAACT